TGATCTCGCTATGGAAGGCCAGAAACAGGTGCTGGAGAGGCTGCGGGGTGTTTTCCGCTCAGGTGTGACCCTTCCTGTCCACTTCCGTTTGACTCAGCTGGAGGCCATGATGTCTCTGTTTGAAGACAATGAAACCCAGATTTTAGAGGCAATGCATGAAGACCTTGCTAAGGTATGAATATGCACAGGTTGACACACAAGTACTTTTAAAATCAACGCGTAAGTGATGCTTTAATCTCATCTTCCCTGCAGCCCAAGTTTGAGGCAGTGCTTTCAGAGATTGAAATAGTTGTGAATGACCTTTGCCTCACCATCAGCAACCTGCAAACCTGGATGCAGCCCACTTATGTGGGCACAAACCTGGTGAGATGCACACTAATATATAATTATATAAACTTTATTGCACCATTAACACATGCAGCAACTATAATATGAACGAAATGCTCCAACAATATTATTCAACAGAAAACCTTCAAGGGTCCGGTCAATGCAGATGTGAGATTGATCTCCCTAAAAATGCTTTCATTTGTTTCCTCTCCCCATTTCATTTGTATTCCAGGCAACAAAGTTGGATGACTGTTTTGTACGCAGGGAGCCATTAGGTGTTGTTTTGATTATTGGAGCATGGAACTATCCTCTTCAGCTAATTATGTTACCTTTGATTGGTGCAATTGCTGCAGGTACTATCTATATCTTTTTCTGAAATATACCCCTTATATACAGGGGCATCGTGCACCTAGTTTTTATTTTGAAGGGAGCACCAGTGACAGTTCTGGCACTTCTTCCTAAGACTGTGCGTCAAGATAGTCCAGTGGTGTAATTTTATAGTAAACATAGTGGTTGGGTTCGAATCCTGATATAATAAAAATTGTACTATGGCAAAATTGCAACTGAACTTGACTGCCAGTGAGCTCCATGCAATTTAACGTATGGAAAACAGAGGAATTGACTTTGCAATTAAAAACTCGACCCCAAATAAAATTTAAAAAAATTGTTATAATAAAACTTTACTTCAAGTTTTCACTGTAATAATTACTGCAATATCTTCACACCCAATTTTATGGACTACTTTTGAATTCTGAACTAAAGTGAGAACATACATTAATAATGTCTTTACTGTTGCTATCGACTTAGTCTGCTAGGGCAAACTGCACCTTATTTCGATGTTTGGAAACACATTTTGCAAAACACAGATTCTCTAGCATGCTTAATTTTAACAAAGGCTGATATTTAAATGGCTATATGATACATATTATGTGCTAAAACCCTTTGGTTGTGTTCTTGATTTTCTAATATTTTGGACGGATTCCCCCAACCACCCGCACACAAAAACCTAGTGGTTCTGCACAAATTACACTTAAGTAATCATGTGATAAGTAATCATTACTTAAGGCTAAAGGACATATTTGGGCTTCAAAATGGCAAAATTAACCAAAAGGCATCTACTTTGGGAAACTACTAATTTTGTACCTACAATTATCATATAACTTAATTATCAAATATAAAAAAAATTAAAATTTTGCCCTTTGGAAATCCATTGGCTCAAAAATCTGAGGAGGCACATCCGCAATATTTTTAACTCAATCACATCTTTTTAACAGGTAACTGTGCTATTCTGAAGCCATCAGAAATAAGTCGAGCAACCGAAAAGCTTCTTGCTGAACTCATTCCTAAGTACCTGTCCCAGGTAACCCTTGGGAAAGACCCATATGATCTAACTTAACACTTCTTAGTGTCATGGTGCTACTGTGTTCATGGTAAAGTTTGTAATCCTTCTCCTGTAAATGGGTTTGTTTGTGCCATGTGTGTTTTGTCTTGTAGGAGTGTTATGCAGTCATTTGTGGTGGAGCAGAAGAGACCAAGACATTGCTGGAGAATAGATTTGATCATATCTTCTACACAGGTTAGAGTTTGCATTGTTATCAATGACAGATTCAAGAAAAGTTGTCACCTTTCTATATTTGCTTCAGCATCTCGTGTCTTCTCTCCTCCAGGCTCGCAGTCAGTTGCTCGTTGCATCCTGCAGGCCGCAGCGGTGCACCTCACCCCAGTTACTCTGGAGCTGGGCGGAAAGTGCCCCTGTTTGATATATGGCCGGCTAGACATGAAAGCTGCTGCTAAGAGGCTGGTGTGGGCCAAGTTTTTCAATGCAGGGCAGAGTTGTGTGGCTCCAGACTATGTTTTATGCACTGCTGAGACGAGAGACGCGCTGTTACCTTTTATGAAAGAGGCTCTGGAGAGTTTCTACGGATCTGAGCCCCAGCAAAGCCAAGACATGGGCCGTATCGTGACAGACAGGCACTGGGACCGACTGGTTGAGCTGCTAAAAAAGTCTGAGGGAAAGATAGTGATAGGAGGAGAGAGTGACAAAAAGACCAAGTACATCGGTTAGTAAACAAGGTTACATATTCAGTATATACATACTGTATATACTCAAAGTTTGGGGTCAGTAAGATTTTTTTAAATAAATATTTGTTCAGCAAGGACACATTAAATAGATCAAAACAGTAGAGACATTTATAATGTTACAAAATATATATATTTAAAATAAATGCTGTTATCTTAAACTTTCAATTCATCAAATAATCCTGAAAAAAATTTATCATGGTTTCCACAAATATATTAAGCAGCACAACTGTTTTCATGGGTAATAATAAGAAATGTTTCTTGAGCACCAATTAAGCATATAAGAATGATTTCTGAAGGATCATGTGACACTGAATAATTAATAAGTAATGTCTGCTGAAAATTCAGCTTTGCAATCACCAGAATAAATTACATTTTAAAATGTATTACAATAGAAAAGTTATTTTAAATTGCAATAATATTTAACAGTATAATTGCTTTTTACTGTATTTTTGATCAAATAAATCTATCTTAAAAGGTCTTTAAATTGCATTTTAAAATAGAAAACAGTTGTTTCAAATTGTACAATTATAAACATTGTATTCACAGTATCACTTTTTAACGATATCTGTATTTTTGATCAAATAAATGCAGCCTTGATAAGGATAAGATACTTTTTTCAAAACATTTTTAAAAATCTTACCGACCCCACATTTTTGAACAATATAGAAGTTCAGTGCATTGTATCATACTAATATCCTACTCTTACTACTGCTGCAGTATGTAGTATGCATTTTCAGAATACATAGGTTTCTGCATGACCTACTGAATTTCCTAAAATGTGCAGTATATATTTATATTAAAAAAATCTGTAGGCAGCTAAACTGGTATTGCATTCTGAGCTTTTGCTCTTTTGCTTTTTCATGGACTGTCTCAGCCCCCACTGTGGTCGTGGATGTCAAGGAGTCCGATGCTTTAATGCAGGAGGAGATTTTTGGCCCCATCCTCCCTATTCTCACCATCAAGTCTCTCGATGAAGGAATCAATTTCACCAACGAGCGAGAAAAGCCTCTGGCACTCTACGCCTTCTCTGATGAGTCTCAGGTAAGGAAGGAAAAAACTAAAGTCCTTAACACGAGTAAAGTGTGAAGTAAGCGATAAAGCAGTGCATATCTATCTATATTTGTTAAGGTTGTAACTACAGTGCTTGAGAGGACCAGCAGTGGAGGCTTCTGTTCCAATGATGGAATAGTTCACATGAGCCTCTCTGGATTACCCTTCGGAGGAGTTGGTAAGGCTGAATGCATTCCTTTAATGTAACAACTGCCCTGCTGTAAAGGTGAAATCTGATGGGGGGGTTTTTGTATTTGGCCCAGGCGCAAGTGGGATGGGCAACTACCACGGTCGCTGGGGCTTTGAGACGTTCAGTCACAAGCGTGGCTGCATGATGAGGAGCTGGCTGCTGGAGCGCGTCAATGTGCTGCGCTACCCCCCCTATAATGAAAGCAATCTCAGCTGGCTGCGCTGGGCCACCACCGCCAAGAAGAAGGGGTGGGCAGGATGTTCTGTTATGTGAGCACTGAGTCTGACGCTCACATTGAGGATGGCCATTTTTTAGATTTTGTCAATGAAGCAGATTGTAACATGGAACAAAAAAATATGGCTTGGCGTTCACCAAGGTTTGGCAGAGAGTTTGGTCAGAAACACAAACCTCATCTGTGGATTTTCAATTGTGAGGTCTTTCAAAACACCACCAGAGGTCAGCATTGAGAAAAGTTGCTTCTTCTGGATGCTTCTATTGTGAGAGAAAAGAGGCCATTTACTAGGAAAAGAATGAGTTTATTTTACCATTGTTCAAATACACTACTCAACTCTTTATGTGCTAATTCGCATCTGTTATTATCGAACACTAAAGTGAAAAGCATTATTTTACTTAGTAAGGTAATGTAGCATCTTTACTGTTACATATCTTGCTATATAGCTCATTATAGTTTAGAGTTTTCTATTTAGTGAAAATATCAAGTAGCATTTCTAGTTTGAGTTGCATACTTGTCATTTTCATCTTCAAAGTTGAGTACAAAAATAAAGTCTGACAAACATGTTTGCCTTCAAAAAGCATAATGGGGATTTATTTATATTGTAATTGCATTTGTTCATTTTTTGTTTTAAGAAACAGCTGAAAAACATGCAATTTGGTGTGTTTTTTATTTTCTGAGAATTTGGTTTACATACCAACCATGACGTCATTAGAAAATAACACCACATACATCATGATGTTACAGAAATTATTTTGACATACAGTACTGTTAAATACTTTGAGGTTTGTAAGATGTTTTAAAGAAGTATCCTATGCTCTCAGTAAAACAGTAAGATTTAGCAATTTAGCTTTTTCTATTTAAGTTTTTGCTTTTTTTTTTTTACATTTTAAAATATAATTTATTCCATTACTCCAGCTGATTTTCTGCTCAAGAAACATTTCTTAATATTATCAATGTTAAAACAGCTGTGCTGTTTTATATTATTGTAGAAATCATGATACATTTTTTCATGATTCTTTGATGAATAGACAGCTCAAAAGAACAGCATTTATTCGAAACAGACATATTTTGAAACAATGTAAAAGTCTTTACTGACACTTCTGATCAATTTAATGCATACTTGCTGTATAAATGTACATATTTCCTATTTAAAAATTCATACAGACCCAAAAGTTTTGAACTGGGGTGTACCTTTGGTAAAATATTCGGATTTCAAAAGACAGGAAAACAATCCATATTTAACCAATGATTTATTTGAAAATTCATCTATAAAATCTCTTGCTCTAAATCATTTTGACATGGATTATATTAAATGAGGGGCACATTTACAACTCAAAGTATATTGTGTGACATGGCAACACACATCCAAATAATATAGACTTGAAACCCTGTGCTGTAAGCATGTGTTCCCATCTAGATTGTTTACAATGAACCAAATTCTTGCTAAAGATGCCTTTATTTGTACTTCATACAAATATAAGGGCTAGACTGAGTATCTTTACACTTGCATCTGTTAAATCCAGATTCCAGTACTGTCTCAGGACTAGGCTTAGTGATACTCAATAAAAGGTACAAAAGGAAGGTCACAAGGTTCAGATTATGACGTGTGAGCTGGTGACTGTCCCCTCAAACATCTGCCAAAACAGACACTGAACCAGTGATGCAGTAGTTCACTCGCTCCTGCTGGGAGTGTCTCTTTCAGGGCTCAGGCTTGTATGAGGAGGGAGGGCTGCTGCCGGACTGGCCCGGCTCAGAGGCTTGAGGTTGAGGGGAGGTGGTGGAGGCGCTTGCAGGGCTGGTGGGCTCTTTTTGAATGAGTTCTGGCTCATCCTGCCCAGCCTGTGGTGGATGAACCAGGACTTTGTCGATGATCCCGAAATCCTGTGCTTCCATCGGGCTCATGTACCGGTCTCTCTCCATCACGCTCTCTAAGCGAGGACAACAGAACACAGAAACTTGATGATGTCCGGAAGGCACGCAATACGAAGATAATTACCTGATATTTAAAAACAAATGTATTATAATATTAATGAAAGATCTGTAACAGAAAAATTACCTATAGTCTCCAAAGGCTGCCCTGTGTGTTTGCAATAGATGTTGTTGATCTGTCTTTTGAGTTTGAGAATCTCCTCAGCCTGTATGGCAATATCTGTTGCTTGCCCCTGAAATTACAAATATTGGCGTTAAAGTTGTAAAAGCAGTTCCCTATATTTGTCTTCTTTTGTCCCCCATTCTTACCCTTGCTCCTCCGGAGGGCTGGTGCATCATGATCCGGGCATTGGGCAGGGAATGCCTCATGCCTGCGGTTCCTGCGGCCAGAAGCAGACTGCCCATACTGGCGGCCTGACCCACACACCAGGTTGAGATGGGATTTAGGATGTACTGCATAGTGTCATAGATCGCAAGTCCAGCTGTAACCACACCACCTGCAAGAAAGAGAGACCAAGAAAAAAATGAGGATTGCTGGCTTCAAAACATTTCTTTCTGGAATATCAAACTCTTTTCCCTTTTTTATACTAGTTATCCTATATGCCAAAGCAGTTTAAGCCTGTAAAGCCTGACTTCTTTCACAAATCAGTAAAATCTAATTTTCTGAAAAAGGAGTTTATTAAACCTGTAGGCAAAATCCCAAAAAAAAAAATTTTTTTTTTTTGGTGAGTATCATATTTGAAACAACAGGCCTTTCTGGTTCATATAATATGCTATAATGTAATTTGGAGCTCATACTTGAGGAGGAAAGACACTACAACTTCATTTAGAAGCCCAAATTGAACAAAAATATTAAATTTGAAGGTATTTGTATGTTTATATGGCCAGCATGCAAAATCATCTAATGGATTCCCTTACACGTATCAAGCAATCTCATATCAGCAACAGAACATTTCAAACTGGACAGATTTAGACCATGAATTGTAGTAGTATATATTTATTTAATGCCATGTCAGCATCAAAAGCTACTTTCATGGCAAAAACAATTTAAAAAATACAAGTATAACAAATACAATAAAAACCAGCAAACAAACAAAAGTTATATCACACAAGATTTTTTACATTAACGTGATTTAATAATTCTACAACTTTTCCTGGCAAAATTTTACTAAACTCTTTAAGTGAGTTCACTTCATAAAAGAGTTTTCTCTGTGCATTAAAAGCTGGACAGTCCAATAAAATATGTGACCCTGGACCACAAAACCAGTCTTAAGTGTCAATTTTCTCAAATTGAGATGTATACATAATCTGAAAGCTGAATAAATAAGCTTTCCATTGATGTATGGTTTGTTAGGATAGGACAATATTTGGCTGAGATACAACTATTTGAAAATCTGGTATCTGAGGGTGCAAAAAAAATTCTAAATACTGAGAAATTCAAAAATTAAGTTTTGATATATTTACGGTAGGAAATTTACAAAATATCTTCATGGAACATGATCTTTACTTAATAACCTAATGATTTTTGGCATAAAAGAAAAATCAATAATTTTGACCCATACAATGTATTTTTGGCTATTGCTACAAATATACCCGTGCTACTTATGACTGGGTTTGTGCTCCAAGGTCACATATGTTTAACAGAAAGGGGAACCTTGCAAAACATACATTGAGTAGGGTCTTCACCTTTAAGCAAAAATGCATGAGTCAGTCTTGTATGACTTTAGACCATGAACTGCCAGATGAATGAACGTAATGATGATCACAATACAAAGCTGCTACAATCTTTTTGTTTTTGTTCTGTTGATGCAGTTGTGTTTCTCACCAGGACTGTTGATGTACATGTGAATAGGCTTGTTGTTGCTCTCAGACTGGAGAAAGAGCAGCTGAGCGATAACCAGAGAAGCTACAGAGTCATCGATCTAGATGAAGAGAAGGACAGAAAAACAGATAGGGAAGGAAACAACTCAAAAGGGCTTCCTGAAAATCATTTTAGATCATTTTGTGTCCTTCCTTGCATTTTAACTTACTGGACCCATAACACAAATGATTCTCTCTCGAAGCAGCCTTGAGTAGATGTCATATGCTCGCTCTCCTCGGCCCTGAAATAGAAAATAGCTGTCAAGTTCCTGCAACACTAAATAGCTGCATCTTTAACAGGTAAACTATTGAAGTTACCATTACAGGCTCTAAAAGTGACTTCTTGATAATAGTTGACCAGGAATGAAGAAACGTGCTACTGATGTGCTCTTACCGTCTGCTCCACAACTATTGGTATGAGTGGACTTCTCCATGGCGCACTCTGATGAATGGACCGACTGACTTTGAGTGCAGGAACACCACACTGTAGGACTCTCTATAACAACAACAGTTATGATGATGATGATCAGTGGTCAAAAAGACAGTCAGCATTATGTATTCAAGGTCGTTTTAGTGGCGAGCTTGACATAACAGCACTCAACAGAGAACAAATCAGCCTGATGACATTACTTTACGTGTCAGTTGAAAACGAGCAAAACTTAGATAACATTAGCTAAATTAACTTAGATTAATTTAACATAAAGCACTCCTACTAGCAAAAGAATAGCGTGTTTATCATAAATGCCATTGCTGCTACATTACTGAATTGTTTCACATATAGAGACACATATAAATAGATATTTCGGAATGAATATTTAATTTACAAAAGGTATTTTAATACTTACACGTAACAACATGTTTCTGTTAAGCAACCCTCACGCGACCCCTATTGACCCGGATGGGATATTCAGCAGCTTGATAGTGAAGCCAGAGACTCTAATGAAGAAAGAGATAGCGAAGTCGAGTGTAAGTTAGGGTTACTGTGACGTTTGCTGATCCAATACAAGTGTCGTAAAATGAATCACACATGTCGCAAAATTGTAAGTTAAAAAAAATTATCAATTTTGAAAACGCTTGTGCTGTTTTATATTATTAAATTATGATAACATTAGCTAAATTAACTTAGATTAATTTAACATAAAGCACTCCTACTAGCAAAAGAATAGCGTGTTTATCATAAATGCCATTGCTGCTACATTACTGAATTGTTTCACATATAGAGACACATATAAATAGATATTTCGGAATGAATATTTAATTTACAAAAGGTATTTTAATACTTACACGTAACAACATGTTTCTGTTAAGCAACCCTCACGCGACCCCTATTGACCCGGATGGGATATTCAGCAGCTTGATAGTGAAGCCAGAGACTCTAATGAAGAAAGAGATAGCGAAGTCGAGTGTAAGTTAGGGTTAGGGTTACTGTGACGTTTGCTGTTCCAATACAAGTGTCGTAAAATGAATCACACATGTCGCAAAATTGTAAGTTAAAAAAAATTATCAATTTTGAAAACGCTTGTGCTGTTTTATATTATTGTAGAAATTATGATACTTTTTCCATGATTCTTTGATGAATAGAAAGCTCAACAGAACAGCATTTAGTTGAAATAGACATATTTTGAAACAATGTGAAAGTCTTTACTGCCAGTTATGTTAATCCTTGCTGAATGCACATATTTCTTCTTTTTTTTAAATTCACACAGACCCCAACGTTTTTAACTGTAGTGTACCTTTGGTAAACTATTCTGATTTAATGAGCTTGAGACAATTCACAATTTGAATAGTGTCATTCAAGTATAGTAATATTGTTAATATTGTTTTAAAGTTTAGTCATCTTAAAAAGACAGGAAAATTGCTTTAATCATTTTAAACAAAAAAAAGACCTTGATACTTTTGTAGTTAATGCAGTTTTGTTTTTGTTTTTTGTTTTATTTGTATATCATGTTGTGTATGTTATTATTTAATCTAGTTTGTCTCTCTGGTAAAATAGATTTTCATTCTGACGGCTCGGTAAAATAAATAAACTGACACATCTATTCCACTGTCTTTCATTCAAACACAAAACAGAACAGAAAGGATCTCGACGCGTTTCGTTGGCTTTGGAGTCTCCACTTGCGGAGGGGCTCTGGTGAAGCACATCCACTGTCATATAATAAAACAACGCTAGATGGCGCCACTCACCGCAGGCTCAGCTAGAACCTTTTGTGAAAGTAGTGTAATGAAAAATACTGTAATTGTGTCTTATTAGCATGAATATAGTTACAAGCAACAATAATGCATCATCTCACCCACCTAATCCACCACAACACACACGTGTTCATTCATTTGTTAGTGAATCCTGAAATTGCCAACATTGTGTGGAACAGCCAACGTACCCAACAAGGAAAATGGCGTAATAAACATACTAATTATGTCCGAATGAAAATGTAACATGTAGAGAGGTTTACTCTGAGGGTCCTAGAAAATATGATAAGCTCATTATAAAGCAATATTGCTTCCTTTTAAATCCCATTCATTCACAGGTGAAGAAACACTCCTGCGCCGTCGCAGTGTGAAACCAATTGTCGGTTTCGACTACAGGGGCGCATTTGAGCCAGTTACTGCCAAAGTCAGTCTCGTCTCGACACTACTGTTACAAACTTTCTCGATCTGTCAGGAGTCATGTCGAATAACAGCGCCGGCGGATTGGTGAGTCTGCAGAAGAGCGTCAAGCAGCTGCGATTTGAGGCAGGAATCCGCAGAATTAAGGTGAGCATAAGAAAATAAAAACCAAAAAGATTGGAAATCTTTGCTAACAGGGTGTGACTTGACAAACTTGTTGATCCTGTCCGAACATCCTGCTACTTTGTGTAATTATTGTACTGTTTTTAACATTTCTTGATTCATGTGAGAGCTCTTACAACACACCTAATGCAGCTGAAGCGTAACAAATAATGTTATCTGTTTGCCAGCTTTTACCGTGGCCTGTCTTATATTGTGGCAGGTTGCAATTAGCTTCGTTTTCAGCAGGTGACAGCTTGCTTTTAATGGAACGCTAACACACGCTGTCATCCAATATTTCAATACATTTGTGAGGTGTATAATACTCGCAGTTCGACATAAAAGCCTCCCAACTTTTCGTTTTTGAAGCCGCATTTGAAGGTAAACTCTGCAGGCAGTAGCGCACAGTGCAGCTCTTTGTTGATTGTGAGTGTGTGAGTGACACAGTGCCACATTTGTTGGCCGGGAAAATCCAAATCTATATTAGTTCCCACTGGCCCCAAACACGCGATTTTAAAAACAACTCAAGGCTTTGTGTGTTATTACTGAGTTTATCATGAATCAAATAAACTTCTGACCGCGTGATTGCAAGGACTATGTGATAACCAATAGAGTCTTTATTGCTCCACAAACCTCTTTTATCTGTATATTCGTACATATACATGAAGTTTCTTCTAAAATTAGCATTTTTTTCCCCTCAGGCTCCTATGTTTATGTTTAGTAATTTCACTTTAATGGCAATGAATAGGTTCTTTTCATTGCCATTAAAGTGAAATAACTGAACATAAACATAGGACCCTGAGAAAAAATTATGGCACTAAGAGGCTTTTGCATCTGAACTCTTCACATGTCTACTTATGTTTTTGTCTGTTTATCTGTCTGTCTGTATTTTATACAATCTGTCCTTCTCTAGGTTTCTCAAGCTGCGGCTGAGCTGAAGGCATTCTGCTTGCAAAATGCCCACAAGGACCCTCTCCTCATGGGGGTGCCATCAAGCGACAACCCCTTTCGACCACCCAAATCATGTGCGCTCTTCTGAGGTACCAACAATCAGCTCAGTGTTACTTTTTTCTTTGAAATTTCCTGTTGAATGGGAACAGAAACAGAAATGTGAACCTCTATCTCTCTCTCTTCCCCCTAAAGGAGTCGTGAAGAATGTGGAGAAACTTGTGAACATTCCTCTTTCACTCGAATGTTTTCACTACACGACCCTCAGATCCCCTTTACATTACAGCAGAGCTGGTTATCATCACTACTATTACACTAAATTGTTTAATTTTGTAAGCTGCATTGGGACTTGAAGTCTTTCACGTCCGGTGATGTGAGTTATGAGGAAAACCTTGAAGAAGTGATTTAAAAGTGTTTAATTTGTATACTGTTAAATAAGGACATGGTAGTGCAAAAGTTACACTATAGGAGGAAATTAAAGTGTTTAGTTGGTCAAACAGTCCACTGGAAAAGTGATGAAAAATATGCAAAAATAATTGATGCATTTATTTTTTACTGTGTAGCCAAGTCCATTTGAATACCAGCCTTACACAGAAAAATTTCAAAACGCTTTCTTGTTGTAATGTGTTTAGTTTAGGATGAAACACTGAATTTCTTTGTTATTGATACAATTAGGCTTATATACATGGACTGTTGTTTCCACGAAACTCATGTATTTAAGCTAATTTAATTGTATTAACCACATAGCTCTATTGAAGGAGAGAGATGTCTTGAATCTCAGGTTCTTTTTGATTAAGATCGATGCTGTGTTTCTGATATAAATTCACTTTTCTGAATACTGAATGAGGTACTACCTTTTATTCAAATATATTTTCTCTAATCTAGTGGGTAAAGGTTTCTGCATAATTTGGACATTTCTTAAATGTTATAGTGTTAACACAAGACACGAGTGCAGAATTATATCTGTGTTTTTAGTGATATTTGCTGGTGAAAGGGTGCTGCCTGCCTGTTATGCTTTTACACTAAGAATTTGAACACCAAATGACTGAGCGTATCAGCTGGCCTGTTTTTGCATGTACTCTCAGCCCTCACATGCTTACTAATCTCATCTTATATCTGTACTGTATCTTTATCAGTCAACCACTGGACATTCATGCAAATGTCATTTTTACTGCTGTCCTGCATTGATAACTTTTTCAGTCTGTTTACCTCATGTATGTCTTGCGTTTTAAGTTTGATTGTGCCTACAAGAGCAACATCTGATTTATTTGCAGCAAGATACCTAGCCCCTATATACTTTTCCTTACAAAACTGAATCAAGATGTTGTTGGTAAATAAGATGTCATTGATAAATAAATTAAAATGACTGAGCCTGAAAAGCTTCTTACACTTTTTGAACAAGATCCCAATTAAATTTTTTTTGTGTGATTTTAACAATAAGAGCAATAAAAGCAACAATTATGATGGAAACTACTATGGTGTCTGTTTGTAACAGAGTTATTATTGTTAGCTAATGCTAAAACTATCAAAACATTTTTGTTGTTTTGTAGTATTAGGTAAAAAAAATTAGTTGGCTTGGAAAATAAAGTTTGAGTTGAAGCACTGAAATTACTGACTAAAAACAGAAAGAAAACCCTGAGCTAAAACTTAGTTCAAGTAAAAATTCCAGTACAAATACTAGAATTAAAATGAAAACATGCACATACATACAATCAAACATACAAAGCTAGTAATAAAAACTATAATAGTTTATCTCCAGTAGCACCAACATACACCAAACGTTTTGTTCCAAACAAGTTTTATTCCTATCTGTATTAAGGTTTTTACAGAGGTATTTATTTATATATAATTCACCTGATTTAAATAACATTTTGTTCCTTTTTCCCCCTGGGTGTTGAATGTATTTTCTGATTTATGGAGTTATAAAAAAGGTGTCCAAAATGCCCTCTGTAAAAACGTTTACCTTTTAATATGTCAACAAAATGAATTTTGAACCTGGCTTTATTCAATATTCAGATTTCTGTTCTGGAAATGTATGTAAATTAGCGTACATTCAATTAGATAACGCCTTATCTGCATATTTAAACAACATTTCAGAAATCTTCCAATACAAAACAATTGTGTTATTGTACTGTGACAATCATATGTGACCCTGGAGCACAAAAGCAGTCTTAAGATGGTTCGTTTTAGTGAATCAAAAACATACAGTGCA